GTTTGCGTCAATGAAATTTCGAGGTGCGATGCAAGTTTTTGCAACGACAAAAAAAGTTTTAGATATGAAATGGGTCTTTAATTAAGCTTTTAAGCCAAATTTCTTTCATCGTGCATGGCATGGTTTCAAGTCATAGGGCCTTGATATGCATTCGAAGAGCGCGATATGTGGCTATGACGTGCCCCGCCCTTACCGGCCATGTGCACTACAACTATCTCTAGTGCTCTACGAATGCTCGATGCTACGGTAGTGGTCTAGCCTCCCTCTCGGGGCCTAAGGCGTTACAAAAAATTTAGGGGAAGTTATGAAGGCTATGAAAGGGAAGCTTGCATGGGCTTTTATATCTAGATCCTCTTTGTGGTCCGGATTTATGCAAGCTAAATATGGTACTCCTAAGGTTATTCTTCAGCTAGATAGCAACAAAGGGTCATTGGCTTAGAGATCTCTAGTGTCGCATATAAAAATCCTACTTGGGCGGTTCAATCTGCATAGTTAGGATTGGTGACCTTCGATTTTGGAATGATAAATGGACAATACTTGGATCTACCTACCGTCACTCCTAACACCGATCCGGAAATCTTGTCGGCTCAAGCAAAAAAAGATGCATTGATCTATGCCTCCCTTTATTCCCCGATAAGAGATGAACCGAACTCCATTCATATGGATAGTAACAAAACTAATATGCTATGCTACATAAAGTCTAAGTCAAGCGATTTAGTTCAAGGGCTTATCATAAAGCAAATAGAAATCCTAGTCCTAAATTTAAGTTGTGGAGGAGCTTATGGAACAAATGGATTCCAAGGAAGGTGGGAATCATGGTTTGGAAATTTATACACAATGCTTTAGTTGTTGATGCAAGGCTTCAAATGCGTGGAATTTCGTTAACCTCAAAATGCAAATTTTGCGGTAGGCCTAAAGAATAGACTAGAAACCATCTTGTCATTCTTAGAGATATAACTTCTCATTTATAGATTTTGTTTGGTAATATTACGGACGTTGTTCTTAGTGCGGAATCGATACGCAGCCTAATATCAAGATGGCTTTCCAAAGTTAAACCCGATACACAAAAAAAATTCTCCTGCTTAGTGCCTAATTTCCTTTCATGATAAGATCTATCTTAAGGCTTTGAGAATTCACGTTCGGATGCTAACCACAATTAGAGGTAGATGGATAAGATGGTCTCCACCTTCTATAGGTGCTCTCAAACGTAACGTCAATGGTGCTTTATAGGAAGGCATGTGTAGTGGGGGAGGTACCCTTCGAATGAACATGAGATGATGTTGATGACTTTCTCCATTTACTTTAGAGTTGGTACCAACAACAAGGGAGAAGCTGATGGTTATTAAAGACGGTTTGAGATTATGCAAAACCCATAATTTTCACCCGTCCATCATCGAAGCGATTCCGCTCTAGCTTTGAATGGGTTGGTGTAATTGCAAAAGCTCCCATGATATCTTACTTAAATCCTATAGGATTACTAGGCGGACATAACTTCGGGAATAGCTCTCCATCACGTATATAAAGAAGGAAATAAGGTAGCTAACGAACTTGCAACATGGGCTTTCCAACATATTCCTAGCAAAATTACACGGTTTCTATCGGATATTCCTAATTGGTGTATCTAATCTATTTGGGAGGATGGTTAAGGTGTTTTCTCCTTCCGACGAAATGGCTGATATGAGGAAGCTTAGTAGATGACTCGGACTAGTTGGGGTACTTCATCGACAAATGACGGTGGGCAACTCTAGTTTCTAGTTAGAATTTTACAATTGTTTGTTTTTTCTAACCTTTTTTTATGTATGGAATGTCTATGTCTATGGTATTGTTTGATTTCATGCATAACTATTCATGTATAGCAATAGTATAATAATGCTTGTATTATTTCGTTTAAGTATTAGTGGTTGCCTAATTATAACTATCATGTAATCCTAGGATCATTGTGAGTCATCTCTTTAGGGGTTTAGGATTCATTGTCCTCCCGACATGATGGGCTAGGTCTGGATTGTCTCCCTCTCGTATGCTTTATTTTTAATCAATATACTCTCGTGGTACCGTCTTTGTTAAAATTTCCTTCTATTTTTCCTCCTTTAAGTTTCGGCCACTCCTCAAAATTTTCCTCCTTTATGTTTTTGATTTCCCAACTATAATTTTAGGCTTAATGGAGTGTTTTAAAGGTGTTTTTAGGTGTTTAGGTTAATTTGGCTTCAAATTTCCTTGAAACCTTTTGCAAGAGTTTGCCCTAATCTTGTTAATTTTTCCATCATTTTCTTCTTCTCCTTCATGCCGAATTATAGGTAAGCTTGGGTGGACTTTTGCTTATTTTGACTTGATCTCCTCTCTTCATTTGATTTAATCTCCACCCTTAGTTTATTTTTTAATCTTAGCCTTTCATTTGGTTAAATCTCCACCATCTATTTTTCTTCAAATCCTAACCCTTCATTTGTTTGATCTTTAGCCATCCATTTGTTAGATTAATCATGACACTCATTTATTAAGGGGTGAAGTGGTGAGTTCAAGGTGGAAAAATATTGGCCAAAAGTTTTATTTTAGACTCTTGATTTATCACATTTTTTTTAAATTTAATCCCTACTTCTTAGTCCCTTCAATTTTAATTGACTACTTTTGATCGTTCTCTAAGGCTTTTTCAACATCTTTAGGCCTCCTAAAATTTATTTTCAAACTTATTTAGGGGGCAAAACTCTTAATTTTACGTAATTGAGTTTCTAATTTTATGCAATTAGGTCCGTGATCTTATATAATTAAATCTCTAAGAATGTAATTAATTTCACACGAGTTCCCAAAAATAATCTCTTTTCACAATAAATTTATACACTTCCATTTATTCATCAATCACCAAAGTTTTTATACACTTATTTAGACATTCAAAATAATATTTTGCTTAAATGTGTATTATTGACGCATAGAAAACTTAATAAAATATTCACCAAGCATAGAAAAATTCACTTAAGTACATAGAATATTTTATCACACTTCTAGCAATTTTTCTTTGCATACAATGTAGTTTTCATACAAATTTTAGATATATTAATATTTCATTTATATATAGGTTGGGGATATTACATTATTGAACTATTGATGAGAAATACCCAATTAACGTACGGTCGAGATCTATTTGTCGGCAGACCATGAGATGCCATCTTAAGCTCCCTAGCTAGCTCATATTAATTAGCATATATAAGAGTAGATAATATTATGGTGGTGATCATAAACAATTCTTGGTTGCATGTGAAGTTATTCATCTCAGCAGCCTAAGCTGTTTATTCTGTTGATTGATTCTCTGGAGCAATATTGCGATGCATTCGCGATCCTCAACAACTATATATTTAAAAAAATATATAACAGTTTGAGTAGAACTCTATCAAATTTTATATAGCTGCATTGCTGGACCTGTCTGAGCCATCTATACCACAAAACTTGAATGACATTGGCTGAGGCACTGGGATTTGTTTGGCATGGCTCACATATGCAACAAGTACATTGGTTTTTGTGTGTGTGTGTGTGTGAGAGAGAGAGAGAGAGAGAGAATCTTAAATTATTCTTAAGTTGTATTTTATTCCTATCTTCTGCAGTATATAATAGTGATGGAGAATGTGAAGGCAAGGTCTTTCTCTAACAAGCGACTGTAAATGAGAGGTTTTTTTGGTGGAAAAAAGTACTGTTGCTCTTTCCTTGAGAGTATCTCTTTTTAATTCCTGTTTTGCTCCATCTCCTTCAATTCAGAAAATATGCTTTCATCTTCGTCTGATCAGCTCTTGAAAGCTCCCACTTACAGGTCAGAAGATCGTCAATCTTAAACCTTTTTAAATGTTGTAACCTTTCTCTCTTCCGTTAAATTCTGTAAACAGCACATATAATTCTTTTTTTCCTTTTACAAATGAAGCTGTTACTAGCATTTTCGGTTGAATCATATTCTTGAATATTATGCATTTATGCTATGTATACTTTTGCATTTAATTAAGAAAAGTTTACTTCTTCAGTTTCCTTTTCTGACTAGCAACAGACTATATATATATATATATGTTAAAATCTATATAGTCCTAATATTTCCAACGAATGGCTTCTCTCTTTTGAATAAATGAGGGTCATCTATTGAAAAGAGAGAAGCCATTCTTTGGAAATATTAGGACTACATAGATTTTAACATATATATATATATAACAGAGAGAGAGAGAGAATATTGTCAGCTTCATGATGGATTGAGTTTCGCTATTGGACAACACAGAGAAACGGTTTATTCATTGCTTTCCTACATATTTCTTGTTCAAAGAGCATAATATGAACATTCCATTCATACCCTTCTCTTTTCTCTTTGATCTGTTCAAATTCTAGAAATAGATTTAATTAAGCTCAACTGAATAATTATTGAAACCTCGACTCTAATTAATTAATTAGTTAACTTATTTATATATGCAGATCGATCCCCCTTCTTCCATACAGTTATGCTATGATGATAAGCTAAATTTTCTGTATGTTATTGTGGTCAAATTCTAGGCTAGAAAAGTAGCTCTTGCATTAAAAGTACTTTACGTTCCATAGAATGCGCAAATGGAACTGATAAGGACAAATATTTCCTAAAAGGTAGCCACACCTAATGTAACAGTACGGTTCACGGTTGGAAGAAAACACAAGCTAGCAATTAAGTTAATTGTTGATGTTATCCTAATGCATATATATATATATATATATATATATATATATATGTATTACTATTTGGAAGTAATTAATAATGCTCCTATCGTATACCACTTCTTTGTTGTTAAGCAATCTATCATCAATCAAGGAGCTTTATCTTAAAACTTGTTTCATGTTTATCATCTTTTTACAGATTCAAGCAGGGAACACATCACCAATCTGGAAATGTGATTTAAACGCATTTCTGCTTGCAAGTTCTTGGAAACTAGGCATTGTAGATTCAACTATATATATATATATATATTCTTGAGGGGACAACTGGACTAAGTCTGACAAAAGCTAAAAACATGGAGAAAATTCTCAAGCCCTACGACCAGGAATACATGAGAATGGCCATGTTAAAACATGAAGAAACATTCAAAGAGCAGGTGCTTTTTCTCCACTTCAATATATCTATACATGCATGCCTTTTTAATTACTTATGTTGCATATCCTTATAAAAGATTCTGGGTTCTTGAATAAGCAGGTATGCGAACTTCATCGTCTATATAGAATCCAAAAGATAATGATGAGAAACAATGAAAGCAACAGGCCTAATGCGAGGAGTCAAGAAATATGGCGCTCTAGGCTCTCGAAGAATGGCTTTAGTTTTAATCAGACTAATCATGCTCGCCATATGAAGCAAAAGTCGATAGTGAAACTTGACTTGGAGAGGCCTGCCGAAGATTGTGGTGCAGAATCAAATGCAGATAGTGTATTGGAGCTAATAGATGAGAGTGAGATTCAGCTAACACTTGGACCTTCGAGCTATAACAGAAGGAAGAAATGTGAAACACCGCTAACTTCAGATTCACGACCAAGCCTCTCTTCGACTTCCACTGGATCCAGCAATATAAACAGGGCAAGTTCCTTGACACATCAAAAGACGAACACCAGAAGAGAAGAAGTAATTGGCTGTGAACTGGGGCTTTTCGTGGTTCCTGACAGGACCTTGGGGTACCAAAATGGAAGTAAAAACAGTATTGGTGTTGAAGAATTATTGAGACAGGAGAGAGTAAAACAGCCTGCTTGGCTTTGTCAAGTATTGAGTCTCAACATGACTTGAAAAAATATCTTTGAGGTCGATATGATAAGATTTTAGACTCATTCTCATCGACTAATTCTATCAGTTATGTTTGTTTTGAATTTTCTGCTTAGTTACTTGCATGGTGGTTATCTTGTGTAATGATGACTTTTTCCCTTATGGGTTGCAATTTGTAAAACCCATTACAGTTTAATTACAATCTACAGATTGACCAGATAATTTTTTATTTTTTTCCCGTAAACAGACAGAATTTTCTGCGAGGTATTGTTGTCTATTGCGCATTAGCTCGAATTTCGGGTTCTTAATTTGTAGGCGGAGAGGTGTGCCTTACCCTCCTTCACCCTCTAGCTAAAAGCTGATGTGGGAACTGACTAAAGATTACGTAAAACAGCAGTAGAGATAGCTTGGGGAATCTCAAATAAGGTCTAAAAGATTTTTTTCTGGAATTTCTAGTAGACAGTAGCTTTATATATAGAACAAAGCAGCCTGCCCTGGAGGATTAATTCTGTTTAGGTTCCTTACAGAATAATCCGTCACACAGAATTTCCTCTTGTCTTCAATGTTTCCGGAATCCACCTGGAACTTGAGACCTTGCCCCACCAAACAGAACTAGAAGGGTATATTTGTGTTTGTCTGCCACCAGAGGAACACCAGGCTCCTATCTTAATAATTAATAAAATTTTGCCTTGTTCCATAGGTTTTTATAGATCCTTCATGAACATTCCACTCCATTCTGAATTTTGAAAATTTAAACTTAATTAATTAATTAATTAATTTTTTTATGAATACGTCCCAGACATGCTCAACACGCACTACCGCTAGCCTGTCCCTTGAGCTATCCTTGGTTTCCAAAAGCTTTTTATCCAAAAAACAATCAATAATTTAGATACAGACCCCACACACTGCTGTTAACTGGTCCTGCATTTCATGGGTCAAAAGGTCAGTCTTAGTTTGAGATAATTTGAAGTCTTACTGTTGTTTAAATTGTTTTGACCTGTCCTGCAGGAATTCCTATCAGAAGCATCCGTTGTAAGAATGTGAAACGAGAAGATGACTAGATGGGCTACATTAGATCCCTGTATAAATGTCTCCTCATAGGCAAGTTAATTAAATAAAACGCATGGTTACTATCAAAATCTATCTTTCCCTCGAATCATTGTGCTATACATACATATAAATATAGATACATAGACGTATATATTCCATAGACATACACATCATTACAAAAAATCAGGCAAATAGTGACAGATTTTTCATTTGCTATATTTCAAAAATCCGTCGCTATATACAATTAGCGATGAATTAGAGATAATATCGATTCCATCGCTAATATTGTGATCAATATTTCCTTAGCAATCAAACTCTTTTTTCTATCACTAAATCAATCGAAACAATCATCCGTAAGGTCTTATATACGTGATCATTCCGTCGCTACTTTCACTTATATCCGTTGCTAAATAGTGACGGAACTAATGTCGTTAAATTATTGTGGCACCTGCGGTTCAAACGAGGAGGCCACGAGTACTACAACATCGTCAAACATTCGTAGAGCGCTAGACATAGCTATTACGTGCTCGGGCTAGTAGAGGCTAGGCATGCCGCGACCATGTCTTAAGCTTGTCGAATGTGCAGCGACATCCTATGACATGGAACATGTATGGGACATGAAATGCACGATAGAGAAATATTTTTTTTTATTTTTGATTTTTTTTAAAAAAAGCTCAAAGGCATAGAATTAAACATGTGTGTAACACCCTTGACCTAAAACCTTGATAGGTCGTGAGTATTACCGGCGTTCACTTATATTCGAAGTACCATGAATGCAAACAAGTCTATTTGCTCAATATTTCAAATTTATTAACATTTTCTCTTGAGGTCCCTAATTAATAATATAATAAGTCCATATTAAATAAAACTTAGGTATAAAAATTTTCAAAAATTCAACTAACATTATTTAATATTTCTACAACATGTAAAAAAATAGTAATGTCATATTTTGCTTAAAAATCCATATTCTTGAAATCCAAATTAATCATTAAAATAAAATACCTTATATTAAACTTATTTGAACTATACCTCGTAGTTTTCTCAAATTCCTTTTAGAAATTCATATAAAATTTAATTTAAGATTATTTTATTTTCAAATATTCCATACCATAAAGTAGGATTATTTGACATTATTTTCATATAAAAAAATATAATTACCATGCATTGCATTTAATTAAAAAATAATCAATGAATAATAACCATTAAATCAAGACTTAATACCATTATTTTTATAAAAATTCCACGGAGTTAGGAATTTATTCCACTAATTCAATTAGGCAATTAATAAATTCATTTGGACTCTTAACTAGATTTTTATCCATTTAAAACATCTTTTGAACTTACGGAACATTGGTTCCTAGCTTATTTAAAACTAATCCATTAAATGCATTTATTCATTAACTACCAATTTCTTTTTATGTCTTTGTCTAACTAACCCTTTTTGCCATGCCATTTCAATTCATACCTCTTTATCTTTAATTCATTAGTTACTAAATTAGGTAACCATTTAGTTATTACCTTCATTCTATCTTTAATTACTTTCTTTCCATAACCAATTAATTCATTTAAAACATATTAATTAGTCAAGTGACCAATTAGTCTACCAAGTTACATAACTAGTCAATCCTTATCACCATATTAACTTAACATTCAAATCATATAATTTATTATTACATACCAAAATTTACTTAACTTGTTACCAATACACATAACAAAAATTAAGTTAAGCAAAGGTAAAGTTTCTCACATTTTAATATACTAAGCACATAAAAAGCAAGTCTTCAATATTTTTTGACGACGATCCTTAATCATATTTCTTTTCTCCAACACCATAAGAAACAAAGGTAAGTGATGCTTAGTAAGTGTAATTCATGTAATGCATGTAATGCATTTTATACCTAGAATGCACGTGATGCATTTAAAAAATCATTTTCATGCCTTTTGAAATTCATTTTACACTTCGAGCACACCTCGCTAATTGTGTATATAATTGGCATTCTTTTAAAACATGCAATTGTAAAAGCATTACAAAAACACTAGGTACCTTCACATAACATTTTTCTTTAAACGATAAGAGTACACACCAGATTATTTCCTTATTATGTTCTCATTTTTCTTTATATACTAAGAGTATACACTAGATCATTCCCTTAGCATATCCTTTTTTTCAAGAGAGGGTAATCATTTCTCTCCCATAACCTCAAGAAGGTACCTAGTCATTCCATTTCAAAAACCTTTCCTCTTCCTTCTCTTTTCATCAAAATCATGAATATAAAACCTCTTTCATGATTATGAGGTGCAAATGCATTTAAATATAAATAAAATACGTTAACATAAAACTCAACATGCATAATTTTAAACCTCGAGAATATATAAAATAAATAAGATATAAAATACATGTTTCATATAAATTAAATATGCATGAGAAACGTGAATAAACAATATGCGTAAATCGTGTCTTAAAATATATCAAGGTTGAATTGTTTCAGCAATATAAACAATCTATTTTTCTCATTAATATAATCATATTTCATACCATGTTATACCTCTAAACCTCAAAATCAAGGTTAACCTCTCATTTCCTTGTTTCAAGTTCGTGACCAAAACTAGGACAATGGAAAAACAACTTCTATTTCATTATTTTACCAAAAATTTTCTCCTCTAACCTCTTAACCTAATATTTTTCTCATCATTTTAGCATCAAGTAGGTTTAGTTTGGCAATCAATCTAAACTTCTTACTTTGCCAAATTGAAGGATCATGAATCCTATGAAGATGTGGAATAAAATAAAAAAATTTCCTCCATCTAAAGTTTTCAATATCATACCGTTGAATCAATTAATCATACATAGATGAATTAAAGAATAAATAAATGATTACTTTTTATAGTATAGATTTTAACATTAGCAAAAAAAAAAAAAAAAGGAGTTATCTAAGTGTCTAGCCTCTACCGATAATCTATACGATCTAAGCACCACACGAGAAGCACTCAAAATTACTAGAGTGCTAGCTCGATCTTTTTTTTTTTTCACTTTTTAGTTATTTACTTTAACAATCTATTGAGGGATATTTTACGATAGCCCTAATTGAGAGGGAGAGAGGTGGCGTGTTTTTGGGAGGAAGAAAACAATTTTCTCTCTTTTTTCTCTTTGTCTTCGTTTAGCCTTAATCCGACTTTCTCTTTGCTATACCTATCCTTATATTTGTAGGGGAGTTTCCTCCTTGTCCTCCAAAGGCAAGGAAGTGGTATCAATGAGTCCCTAAAGGACTCTTGGTTGTTGCTTCCTAATGAAGGATCATGCATTCTATGGAAGTATGGAATAAGCAAAAACTTTTCTCCATCTAAGAGTCTAAGATCAAGCCGTTGAATCTACTAACTATACATACATGAATATTAAGCTATAAATAAAGGATTACCTTTTGTAGAATAGATCCTAATTCTTTTTTAGCAAAGCCATCCAAGTTTTTGATTTCTATTGATGATCCATGTGGTCCAATTATCCACGAAGAAGCACTCAAAATCGATGGGGTGCTAGCTCCACTTTTTCCGATTTGGCATCTCCTCTAGAAATCAATCCCGGGCAATTTTACGACAACCTTAAAGTAGAAGGAAAGAGTATAACTTACTAGGATTTAGGAGAAAATTATCTTCTTCTTATTTTTCTCTCTTGCCATGTGCCTTTTTTTAATTTTTGAGGGTTAACCGAAACTTTTTCCTCTTTTTGTTTTGTTTTTTTTTTTTTAGCTAAATGTTGCTATGTTGTTTTTAACTTGGCCAAATACTATTTTTTTCTTATTCTCATTAGCCTCCTTTATGCCACACCTCTCCTCCTATTTATAGGGGGAGTTTCCTTGTTCTTTAAGGACAAGGAGAGGGGCAGCAATAAGTCCTTTTAGGACTCTAGGTTGTTACTTATTCTCCAAGGATGAAGAGTTATATTATATGTGGACTATTTGATTATTATCTTTAAAACA